AGGTGGTGTCAGGAATGTCAGGGAGGGTGGTCCTGAGGCCCCTTTCTAGCACAGAGGACATGGAGCTGGGACATCCGTGCAGGGTGATTTGTGAGAAGCAGCCTGGCTGTCCCCATAGCTTCTGCACAGGAGGCCTGAATGGCGTTCTAGGTGGGGGAGAAAGTTTAACCACAGGAAACCCAGGCCCCAGTGCTTAGAGCTGTGCTCCTGACTCCTGTCCTTGTCTGGCCTGACGCGAATGTGCAGTGGATGATGACTGAGAGGGGTGGGTTTGTCCCGAGAGAGAGACCCCATGGCGAGAGATAGAGACCTTTTGCAGACTGACTGTGAGAGCAGTGGATTCAAGCGAGGCAGGGAAGGTAGGCTATGGAGACCACAGATCTGTCAGGCGAATTCCACTCAGAGGCAGACGACATGTCTGCATGAGAGCAGAACGCACAGGGAACAGGAGGAGACAGGGAACAGGAGGAAATAGGGAATGGGCCCAGTTTCTGGTTAGCCCGTGCCTTGTGAAAGGTCCTTGCGTGAGGGTGTCATTGAAACTGTCATGGGGGAAAATCAGGACTTGTTCTCCGGCCGCTTAGACACAAATTGAATGATTCGTTCACCATTGAAAATGGTCTTGTTCAGATGGAGACTGTGTAAATAATGCAGAGAGCAGAGCATGATTGAAAGGGAGGAAATTTTGATTGCTAGTTTATAGATTCAAGGAGAAAGGCAGGAATGAGTAGGGCGGTGGCATAAGAAATGGTAAGGTGGAGCAGGGTTTCTGATTGAAATGAGGATGTTTGTTGAGTGATGATTGGTTCAGGTAGAAGGGCCGTGATGACTTGAAGTGGGAGAGGAGACTCAGCCATAGGATCTGGGGAATGCGTCCCCAGAGTGGGTCGGGAGTAGGGATGTGACTTCTGTGCAGGGACTCTGCACTTCTCCACGGAGCTCCTTTGTTGTCCACCTGACAGCTGAGTATTGCAAGGTTTTCACTGACATCCTCAGATAGCTCTGGCCAGGTACTTGAGGTTGCTCAGTTTGGAGTCCCTGGATACCTCCTCACCCTGAGAGATGGTGGAGCCATCTCCCGTCTGGGTCACCATCAGGTTTGGTGTGTAGAAGGTGTCATTCTACACCCCAGTGTGTCCATATTGGTTGCAGTCACCGCAGAGGAGGACGGGATGAGTGACGTAGGGGTTGGTCTTGCAATGACCTGTGGGGTGGTTGGGTGGTCAGAGACTGGCTTACAGGTGAGGAGCCTCTGAACTCAGAGTGAGAGTCATGGCATGGATCCCTCAGTGTCAGGACAAAGCACTATAGACAGGGTGCATACTCTCTTTTGTAAGATGGGTTGTCAAGATGTACCCACGTACTCCTTTCATTTACTAGAAACCCTGAGCTGTACACCGGGACATCACCTGTGCTGAGACTCCTTTTGAACTTGGCCTCCATGACAGACTCTGGACACTGGCCTGCCTCCCTCTGACCCCTGCTATCTCCACTCTGTCTGGGATTTTCTGATCTTCTCTTGAGCAGATATTTGAGTGCTCTGAGTGTTCTGTGGATTATTCTGAAGATATTTCTGTCCTGAGCTACAGGCTCTGGTGGAGAATGGGGTATTTGCCCAAGGAGTCTGTTTTTACTCACATCAATCTGCTGCAGTAAATCTCTAAGGTAGGGGCCTCTGCTGGTCAGACTCTGTGGGACCAAAATGGTCTCCTCCTTCTGAGACCTCGACTTCCTATTCTTCCTTTCCTGAGTGGTGTCTCCTAGAGGCCAAGGTTGAGAGGACTCCAGAATTTCTCCTTGTTCTGTGTTCTTGCAGAGACCCTGGCTTTGGCTTCATTATCTCTTCCCACTTTTCCTGCTATGTTTTGCTCTTGTCCATATCTGGGCTCCTGGAAACTCCTCTCGTCCTACCGTGTCTCTCCTCATGGCCGTCCCAATATAAAACACACCCTGTGGACACTGTCTTCCGTTGTGGGACAGAGCTGCATCCCATGTGCTGTTTTCAAGGGCAACTTCTGTTCTGCACTAGGAATCTCAGATGTACATGGAACACCATGGTCATGGCATAGTGAAGGTGGGGTTGGTCTTTGATTTGGGGCCCAGTAGATACCCTGATTTTCCTGTGCTCCTGACCAGTGACCTTTTAGTTCTGAGACTCGATTAGAGTAGAAGGGACAGTAGAATTGTGGGACTATGTCATTAGTCCTTTCATAAGGGAATTAGAATGATGGAGGGTGAGAGAACCTTTTGGTTTGCGCTGTGTGGAGAGGTGGCTCAGGTGAAGAATTGGGAAAGGAGTGTCTGGGGGATAATGGTACATATTGGGTGCATTTCCCAGGGTGAGGGGTACATTTTCTCGTGAGATCCCACAGCCCAGTGTGAGAACCTCAAGGAGGTTGTAAATTAATGAGAGGAAAAAGCAAGCCAGATTTCTGATTGACATTAGGATATTTATTGAGAGTTTACAGAGTGAGGCAGAAGGTCTGGGAGTACTAGAGTTGGAAGGGAGACCCATTCTCTTGGGTCAGTAGATGTAGATCCTAAGGATCCAGTGGGAAATAGGCCCTAAGAACATGTTGCAGGGGTCACGCTCTTCTCCACGGTGCTCCCCTCGTGCGTGACCTGGCAGGTGAACGCGCTGCGATTTCGGCACTGGTCGGCAGTCATGCTCAGGTAGCTGCTGGCCGCGTACTTGTTGTTGCTCTGTTTGGAGGGCTTGGTGGTGTGCACGCCCTGGGTGACGGTTGTGCCATCTGCCTTCCAGGTCACCGTCACCTCAGCCGGGTAGAAGTCGTTAATCAGGCACACCAGTGTGGCCTTGTTGGTTGCCAGCTCCTCAGAGGAGGGTGGGAACACTGTGAGCGTAGGGCTGGCCTTCGGCTGACCTGTGATGTGGGAAAGGTGAGAGGTCACGGGCCTGGTGTTTATGTGGGGAGCCCCGACCTAATTCTTGACATGGGACACAGACATGAAGTTCTAGCTGAGTGCTAAGTCCTCAAGTGGGCCTTCCTTGGAGTGAGATTAAGAAGACTGTTGTGTGGGAACACCCCTTCCAATGGGAGACTACTCAAACTGAGTCTTGTTACGTCTCCCTACACTGAACACAGTCATTCCCCAACCACAGAGGCCCTCACTGTGGATTCCTCATCTCAGTTTTCTTCCCTTAGTCCTTACACAAATGAGGAGAGATTCTAGGACCTCCTGTCTCCACAGGGAATGTCTGACTGACCAAACTTTGCCGGGTCCCTTCCTCTGGATATGCCCATGAAGGTGTCTGCCTTTCGTCAGTTTCTTTTCCTTGTGACGGAGGCAAAATTTTGTGCAAAGTTCACTTGGCACCAAAACTGTAGCCCATGACCATCCACACAGAAACGTAGAACTTTCTAGGCTGCCTGATTGGATAGGGAGTTTAGGCCCATAATTTGTTCTGGGGAGTTCTTTTGGCTGGAGGTTTCCATGCGGAGGAGGTTTCCTATTCTGAGGCAGAGTCTGTGTGAGCTCTCAAGGTCTTCCTGGGCATGAAGTTATACCAGTGAGTCTGTGTTTCCCCAAGCCTTTTACTGCCTAGGCATGTCCCTGTCTGTTGTCCTCTGAGCAGTCCCTCCCGGGACATCTGCCTCATGGTTTCCCCTCCCTTGAGGAGTTGGAGGTGCTGGCCTGAGTGTTCCTGCACTCTATTCTCTCCAGGTTTCCTGCATCTTCTATTAAAGAGGCAGGACCTGGAACCCTGCGGCCTCCTCACAAGAACATTTTCCTTTGCTTTTGTCCGTCTCCTGTCTGTACCTCAGTCTCTCCAAGCCCCTAGTCAACGGCCTGATTTGTAAATAGTGATGAAAGCAGTTCCAAACCCATGCCCTAAAAAGAAGACAGACTCCAGGAGATGGGACAGGTTCCTGCATCTTGCCACTGTCCTAGGATTTGATGCTCAGTGTAGAGCCCAAGAACACCAGCCTAAGCTTTGGAACACAATCCAGAGCCCCTGTTTTCCAAGACTCTTTTGAGGCAGTCTCTGAGGGATGAAGGACAACCTCCTAGAGTTCAGAAGTAGTATCTTCTGGGAGAGAGTTCAGAGTCTCATTTAGGCCTGTGCATGAAGTATTAGGTTTTCCCTGGGATTTGCCCCTCCTGCCCTGAGCAATAACTGAGAGGTGGGGAGGAACTAGAGCTTGAGGAGAGAGGGGCAGATAAGGAGAGGAAAATTCCAAACCCCTAGGAAGGTCTAGCCCTCTGTTCCACACAGGATAGAAAAGGGAGAGAAATCTGCCCAAATTTCAGTGTTAATACAAAGAAAGAGAGAATGGGGAGACTCACCGAGGACGGTCACCTTGGTTCCACCGCCGAAAATATAACACCGTGACATAGCCCCATACACAAACCCCTCCTGACACACCCAACACAGACCCACCTGCAGCTGCTCAGCAGGCCCAGGTCCTTCCTTCTCTTCTTTGTGCTAGTCTGTCACGGGTGGGTTGAAGGGCCAGCCCCCCTTGACCTGGATCCTAACATCTGATATTTTGATGGCCAGATAGCCTGTCCATCCCTAGTCAGGGGAGGACTTGAAGACAAATGTCTGATGGGGGAATGCCTTTTCCCAGCTCATAGTCATCCAGGGAGGGAGCTGAGAGCCGGAGTTTGTGTCAGGAATGTCAGAGAGCCTTGTGCTGAGGCCCCTTTCCCTCTCAGATGACATGGAGCTTGGACTTCTGTGCAGGGATGTTTGTGAGGAGAAGCATAACTGTACCCGTAGCCTCTGCAAAGGAGGTCTCTAGGTGGGGGAGAAAGTTAAATCATGGGGATCCTAGGCCCCAGTGCTGAGTGCTGTGCTCATGACTCCTGTCCTTGTCCGGGCTGACCTGAATGTGCAGTGGATGGCGACTGTGAGGGGTGGGTTAGTCCTCAGATAGCGGCCACATGGAGAGATATAGAGACCTTGTCCAGACCGAGTGTGAGAGCAGAGCACCCTAGGGAGAGAGGGAAGGTGGGCCATGGAGACCACGGAGCTGTCAGGTGAGCTCCACTCAGAGGCAGATGATATGTCTATCTGGGAGTAGGACACGCTGGAGATAGGAGGGAACAGTGAATGTGCTGAGCTCCTGACTAGTCAGTCCCTTGTTCTGAAATGTCCTTGCGTGAGGGTGTCATTGAAACTATCCTTTGGGAAAATTCAGACTTGTTGTCCGGCTACTTAGTCACAAGTTGTGTAATACGTTCTCCTTTGAAAATGGTCGTGAATAGATGGAGACTATAGAAATAAAGCAGAGAGCAGAGCATGATTGAAAAGGAGGAAATTTTTATTAGTAGTTTCTAGAATCAGGGAGAAAGGTTGGAATGAGTTGGGTTATGGCATAAGAAATCAGAAGGTGGAGCAGGATTTCTGATTGAAATGAGGAATTTTACTGAGAGATGATTGGTTCAGGTAGAAGGGCCGTGATGACTTGAAGTGGGAGTGGAAACTCAGCCATAGGATCTGGAGCATGCATCCCCAGTGTGGGTAGGGAGTAGGGATGTATGACTGCTGTGCTGGGACCATACAGTTCTCCACAGTGCTCCTTCCTGTACAACCTGACAGCTGAGTCTTGCGAGATCTTCACTGGTTTGCTGAAATTCTCAGATAGCTGCTGGGAAGGTACTTGAGGTTGCTCTATTTGGAGGCCTTGGATGTCTCCTCAACCTGAAAAATGGTTGAGCCATCTTCATCTGTGTCACCATCAGGTTTGGTGTATAGAAGGTATTATTCTTCACACCAGTGTGTCCTTATTTGGTTGCCATCACTGTAGAGGTGGGCAGAGGAAGAGTGACTTATCGGTTGGTCTTGGAATGATCTGTGGGGTGGCTGAGTGGTCAGAGACTGGCTTACAGGAGAGGAGCCTCTGAACTTACAGTGGCAGTCATGGCATGGATCCCTCAGTGTCAGGACAAACCACTACAGACAGGGTTCATGACCTCTTATGGAAGAAGGATTGGATAGCTTTTCTCACACACTCCTTTTATTAACTAGAAAGCCCTGAGTTGGACAGTGGGTCATCATCTGTTCTGATACTCCTTTCGGACTTGGACTCCCACGAAGACTCCTGACTATGGTCTGCCTGTTCCTGTCTTCTGCTATCTCCACTCTGTCTTGGGTTTTCTGGGTGTCTCTTCAACATATGTATGAGTGCTCTGACTATTTTTTGGGTCATTCTGAAGATATTTCTGTCCTAGCTACAGGCTCTGGTGGAGAATGGAATATTTGCCTAAGAAGTCTGTTTTTGCCCAAGTCAATCTGCTGCAGGGTCGTTTCTAAGCTAGGAGTTTCTGCTGCTCAGACTCTGAGACACTAAAGTGGTTTTCTGCTGCGGGGACCTCAACATCCTATCCTTTCATTCCTGAGGGGTATCTTCTAGAGGCTGATGTTGAGAGGACTCCAGAATTTTTTCTTGTTCTGTGTTCCTACTGAGACCACGGCTTTGGCTTCATGATCTCTTTCCACTTTTCCTGCTGTCTTTGTCTCCTGTCCATGTCTGCTCTCCTGGATACTCTTACTTCCGCATCTCTCCTCATGGATGCCCCAATATGAAACATTCCCTATTGTCCCTCTATTCTTCCCCTATGGGAAAGAACTGTCTTCCACTGCTATTCCCAAGGACAACTTTGTGTTCTATAGTAGGGTTCTCAGATATACATGAAACACCATGGTCACCACATACTTAAGGTGGGTTTAGGCCTTTTCTTAGTGGCCCTATGGATACCCTTGAGCTTCTTGTGCTCCTGAGCAGTCCTGAGTCTCACCGAGACTAGAAGGGACAGTACAATTGTGGGAAGATGTGATTAGTTCTGTAATAAGGGAATTAGAATGATGGAGGGTGAGAGAACCTTTTGGTTTGAGTGTGTGGAGAGGCGGCTCAGGTGAAGAATTGGGAAAGGAGTGTCTGGGTAAGAATGGCACATAGTGGGTGCATTTCCCAGGGTGAGTGGTAAATTTTCTTGTGAGATCCTACAGCCCAGTCCTAGAGCCTCAAGGAGGTTGTAAATTAACAAGAGGAAAAAGGAAGCCAGGTTTCTGATTGACATTAGGATATTTATTGAGAGTTTACAGATTAAGGCAGAAGGTCTGGAAGAACTAGAGTTGGAAGGGAGACCCATTCTCTTGGGTCAGTAGATATAGACCCCAAGGATGCAGCGGGTTGTGGGGCCCTAAGAACATTCTGTAGGGGTCACGCTCTTCTCCACGGTGCTTCCCTCGTGGATGACCTGGCAGGTGAACGCGCTGTGATTTCGGCACTGGTCGGCAGTCATGCTCAGGTAGCTGCTGGCCGCGTACTTGTTGTTGCTTTGTTTGGAGGGCGTGGTGGTGTGCACGCCCTGGGTGACGGTTGTGCCATCTGCCTTCCAGGTCACCGTCACCTCAGCCGGGTAGAAGTCATTCACCAGACACACCAGTGTGGCCTTGTTGGTTTTCAGCTCCTCGGAGGAGGGTGGGAACAGCGTGAGCATGGGACTGGCCTTCGGCTGACCTGTGATATGGGAAAGGGTGAGAGATCACAGTCCTGGTGTTTATGTGGGGATGGCTGACCTCAGTCTTGACATGAGATACAGACACGAAGTCCTAGCTGAGGGTCCTCAGACGGGCCTTTCTTGTACTGAGGTTAGAATACTGGTGGTTGGGAACATCCTTTCAAATTGGAGACTACTCAAACTGAGTGTTGGTAAGTCTCCCCACCCTGAACACAGCCATTCCCCAACCACAGAATCCCTCACTGTGGATTCTTCGTCTCAGTTGTTTTTCCTCACTCCTGACACAAAAGAGTTGAAATTCTGGGACCTCCTGTCTCCACAGGGAATGCCTGTCTGACCACCTCCTCCTGGGTCCTCTCCTCTGGATATGCCCACACAGGTAGTCTCCCTTTTGCCAGTTTCTTCTCTCTGTGACGGAGGCAAGATTTTGTTCAAGGTCCTCTCCACACCAACACTAGCCCATGACCCACCTGCCCAGAGACCTAGAACTTTCTCCACTGCCTGATTGGAAAGGGAATGTGAGTCCCGTCGTTTTGTCTGGGGAATTCATTTAGGTGGAGGTTTCTGTGAGGAGGAGATTTTTCTGTTCTGAGGCTGAGTCTTTGTGAGCTCTCAAGGTCTTCCTGGGCGTGAAGTTATGCAAGGGGTTCTGTGTGTCTCCCAGCCTTTTACTGCTGAGGCATGTCCCTGTCTGCTGTCCCTCTGAGCAGTCCCTCCCAGGGCATCTGCCTCATGGTTTCCCCTCCACTTGTGGAGGTGGAGGTGCTGGCCTGAGCGTTCCTGTGCTGTGTCCCCTCCATGTTTCCTGTTACATCTGTGAAAGAGGCAGGACCTGGAACCCTGGGGTTCCTTCACAAGAACATTTTCCTCTGTCCTTTTTCCCCTCCTATTTGTGCCCCAGCCTTTACAAGCCTTAGTCAAGGGTCCTATCTTTAAGTAGTGCTGAGAGCAGCCCCAAAGCTATTACCCAGAGAAGACAGACCCCAGGAGATGGGACAGGTTCCTGCATCCTGCCGTTATCCTTGTATTTGGTGCCTCATCTTGAGCCCTGGCACCCCCGCCTGATTCATTGCCCCTTTGGCTCTTTATCGGCAATCCCTGAGTGAGAAAGGGCAACCTCCCAGAATTCAGAAACACCACTTTTGGGAGAGTGCTCAGTGCCTCATTCAATTCTGGGCATGGAACATTAGGTTTTCCCTAGGATTTGCCCATCCTGCCCTGACCAGTACCTGAGAGGTGGGGATGGACTTGAGCTGGAGAGGAGAGACAGACAAGGAGAGGAAAGCTCAGGTCCCCCTACCCACCTAGGTCTATCTCCTGCTCCAGATATGCAAGAAAATAGAAAAAGCTGTGCCCAAAATTCGCTGTGGATCCCAAGGAGAAAATGGGGAGACTCACTGATGACAGTCAACCTGGTGCCACGGCCGAATATAAAATACCATCACACAGCCCCATACACAAACCCCTCTGACACTCCTCACCCTAACCCACCTGTTCAACAGGCCCAAGTCCAGCCTCCTTGTCACGGGGGCTGGGCGGTCATGGGTGGGGGGAGGGGACGGCTCCTGTGACTTGGATCACTACTTCTGATGTTCTGATGGCCAGAGAATCCGTCCGTCCTCAGCCGGGGAAGGGCTTGGAGACAAAGTCTGGGTGGGGAATGACGTGTTTCTGCTAATTGTGATTCAGGGAGAGAGCTGAGTGCCTGACTGAGCCAGTGTCAGGAATATCAGGAAGGCAGGTGCTGAGGTTTGTTTTCATCAGAGACCACGGAGCTGGGAACTCCTATGCAGGAGCAACTTCTGAGGAGGGCCTTGGAGAACCCCATGTTGTCTGTATAGCTGCCCTGAATGGGAATCCAGGTCAGGGGAGAATCAGTTGAACCACTGGGGCCTTAGACCCCACCGTAGGGTGCTGTGCTCCTGAATCCTGTCCTTGACTGGGCCTTCCTGGAGGTGCAGTGGATGGTGACTGTCAGGATCCCCATGCCAAACTCTAGGGGCAGCCACATACCTGCAAGGGTGCAAGTACTTATTAGAGACGGATTCCCAGAGCAGGCCCGAGAAGGTGGGTTTTAGGTCCTCCTCCCAGGACCCTGTCCATTAAGAGCTTGAAATGTCCGTACAAGCCTCTGATGACCCCTCAGGCTGCTGTGGCTCGAATGAGCAGGCGTGCACACCTGTGCCTCCATCGGTTGTCCCTGTGTACAAGGCAGCATGGATCACATGCATGAGCGGTGTAGGGTGCGTCCTAAACTTTGGGATGCACACAGCACCCCAACATTGGATGTCCATGTGCATCCAGGTCCTGGCCAATCACCTGCTAAGCTCACACCTGAGCACCCTTGGCATTCTAGACCTCCTGCCACAGTGTCCCCCCCCCCATGACACTTCTGTCATCTCCTGAGATCTGCCCCAGCTTCCTGAGCCATCTCCCTTTCACTGGCTTCCTCCTGTCCCCTGGCTCTCTCCCAGCCTGGATTGGAAATCCCCGCCCATGTTCATGTGAGGCGCCACTCAGGACTAGCACTGTGGACTGTGGGACCTTGGTTTCTTTTTGCGTCCCAACCTAGTTCTCACCGCAGCCCCTTCTATTTGGGCCTTTCCCAACCCATGCAGAGAGATACCCAACAGAGAGATGAGTGTGTGTATGTGTGTGTGTGTGTGTGTGTGTGTGTGTGTGAATGTGTGTACAGAGTCATGCAAATGTGTGTACACATGTGTGTTAGTTCAACCCTACATTGATTACTTAAGCATGTTTATTAGCTGACACACAAGCCTGTGGCAGAGTCCCAGAACTGGACTCGGTTTTGAACTCATGAACCATGTTGACAACCCATGGACACCTGGAAATGAGGCACTCGTGTGGAGTTCAGCATAGGGGTGGCTGCTAAGGAGTGGAGAGAGAGCTGAAATGGCCCCTCTTGGTCAGGAGCCTTGTGTCGACCTGGAACAGCCAGTGGCACATTTGAGGCAAAAGTCCCCAAAGGTGCATTTGTGGAAAGTGAAGAGGGTCAAGTGTGTGAATGTTCTGTTAAGGAGTGGCACAGTGAGCACATGAAGGTGGTGTCCCTGTGGAGACAGCAGAGCAGGTCCCAAGGAAGAGGTGCAGTAGGCTGTGAGGTTGGGGATTTCCAGGTAGAGTAAACAGACCAACAAACTCTGGCTTTGTTTGTTCGTGTGTTTTGGGGTGGGAGGGCTCTTCCTGAGACCAATGGCCATTTTGACAGGGAGACCCTGTCCAGGCTGATGTGAGGGCAGAGGAAGGGAGGGAAGGCAGACCATGGAGACCATGGAGTTGTCAGGTGAGTTCCACTCAGAAGTGGATGATAGGTCTACATGAGAGCAGGACACACAGGAGACAGGAAGAAACAGGGCACAAACTGCGCTCCTACTAAGATAATCTCACGGTCTGGAATGTTCTTCATTGAGAGTGACAGTGAAAGTGTCCTACAGGAAAAAAATCAGGACTCTTTCTGTGGCTTCTTTGTCACAAGTTCAAGAATTTGTTCACCTTTGAGAATGGAGACTGTATAAACACAATAGAGTGCACAGTATGATTTCTGATTGAACATGAGGACCGGCAGATGATGTAATGGTTACGTTGCCGAACTTCGATGTAGTTGACCACAGTTTGAGTACTGGCTCTGGTGACTTAGAACTCATGCCGGGTGCATGTGAGAGTATGCTCAGCATCCTGAGAGAATATCGGAGAAGGGATTGCAGAGTGGACATTCCCCCTAGGGGTTGATTTCTCACTTTCTGTCTCTGTCTCACTGGTGAGTGCATGTTCTCTGTAGCAAAATTTATTTTTAGCTTTTTAAAAAAAATAATTTTATTTACTATTTTTTATTAAAGATATTTTTACACACATTATCATCAGTTTTATACCTAGAGATCATACATACATCTAATGGCTACATAAATTTGAATGTATCAATACCATAATATTGGCCAATAATATTGATTAACAAGTGAATATTGCTCAATATTAGCTAATATAGAAAACTATCGATAGTATCCCTGACTAGTAGCCATTTAGAGTTTTTTTCCCCCACATTTTATTGATTCACAAAGAATATTAACTAATCTAAATACTTTCAATAGCAAGTGCAGTGGATATAAGTGTATCTATGGACACATGTCTGACTTTAAGCAGAAAACTCAGTGAATAGGATGAACATGCTATAAAGTAGTTTAAAAATGAATATGATGAAATTTTTATTGAAAGTTTATAGGTTCGTAGAGAAGGGCTATAGCGAGTAGGTTCCTGAGATAAATAATAAGATAGAGCAGGATTTCTTATATAAATGAGGATGTTTACTGAGAGATAATGGGTTCTGGTAGAAGGGCTGGAATGATTTGGTTTGAGAGAGGAGACTTTCACATGGAATCCTGTGGTACCAATTCTAGGGGTGGGGTGAGGGGCAGGGACCTAAGATTAGTCTGCAGGGGTCACACCCTTCACATGGGGCTCCCCTCATGCATGACCTGGAGGTGGGGTAAAGGGCAGGGACCCAAGACCATTCCACAAGGAGCCATGATCTTCTCTATGGTGCTCTTCTTATGCACTACTTAGCAGCTGACTATGTTGTAAGATTTCTACTGGTCAGCAGACATGTTCACATAGCTGCTGGCCCTGTACTTGTTGCTCTGTTTGGAGGACTTAGGGGTCTCCACACCTTGGGAAATGGTGGAGCCATCTGCCTTCCAGGTCACTGTCAGGTCTGATGGGGAGAAGCTACTGATCAGATACACCAGTGTGGCCTTGTTGGTTGTGAGCTCCTAAGAGTGGGTGCAAACAGAGTGACCCAGAGTGTGGTCTTGGGCTGACCTGTGGAGTGGGAAAGGTTGAGAGATCAGAAGTGGGCTTGCACTTGGGGAACCTCTTACTTAAGTGTAGGAGGCCTGGCTTGGGCTTCTCCGTGTCAAGACAGAGCATAGATAGGCTCCAAGCTCTCTCTTCTGGGAGATGGATTTGGTGAGTTGTTTATGTCTGATCCCCTCCTTTTTTGGGAACCCCTCAGCTAGACCCCTGACAATCACCTGTGTTGAGACTGTCTTAGAACTTGGCCTCCAACACACTCCTGAACCTCAACTGCCTGTCCCTGCTGACACTCCTATGGCATTTGTATGGAGCTTTCTGTTTGTCTTTTGAGCAGATGAGATGAGTGCTCTGATTCACCTTTGGTTCATCTGAGGATGGTTCTGTCCTGAGCTGTAGGCTCTGGTGGACAATGGAATATTGGCCCAGAGAAGTCTTTTTTAACTTGGGTTAGTCTGTTGTAGGGTCATTTCTAGGCTAAGGGGATCTCCTGATCAGACCCAGTGAGACCAAAGAGGTCTCTTCCTTTTGAGACATCAACATCCAATACTTCAATTTTTGAGTAGTGTCTTCTAGAGGCTTAAGGTTGATAGAACTCTAAATTACCTTCTTGTTCATCGTGTGTTCCTGCTG